CGTTACGTAGACTTCTAGGAACATTTGGGTGTTTGTGAGGTGAGCTGGAATGTGGTTAAGCAACTGGGTAAGTATCAGGTTTAAAAACCAGGTTATTCTGTCCGTTGACTCGTCTACACAGCTGATGATCGGTCGGACCTTAAATGATGACGGATTGGTTGACGTATTATCATCAGGTGATACCAACTTATGTGTTTTAATAAGTAGGTATAGGACGGGACATGTTGGTCTATTGATTTTAAAGTGCGAAATAACCGATGATTTTAAACCCGCAGCCTTTGCCACGCTGACCCATTGATTGTTTAGTTTTCGGTATTGACTTTTATATTCCTTTTCAGAGGATGGGCGATTGAGAGTAGCATCACTAAGACGTTCCTCTGTTATCTCAACATCCAGCTGGCGAGAGATAACTACGAACTCTCCCCCCTTATAACTAACAGACAATCTTATTGTCTTCAAGTTTATTAATTCTCTAATTTCCCGCATGCCACATTTTTGCGCGGCTGTAAGGTAAGAGATAAACTTTCTATCGCGGTAGTGATCAAGGGTCTTGAGAACGCCGTCCGAAAACGCGCGGAATTTTATTTCAACTCCATCGTTAGGGTCCTGCTGTCTAAAAAACGTTTTAGGGAAAGGAGATGGTGGTAGTGCCTCCGCCTCTTGATCTTTCTCTATTTGGTGTTTCTTGCTTGGCCCGATAGCGGAGTCGATCTTGAAGCTCATAAACGTTGCATGCTATCCTACGCAGGTCCGTTTTAGAAATGGGCTGTGATGGTGCAAAACTTGGGCCCAATTCTAATAGCGAGCGCGCATTCTCAGGTATTGTTATGCCCCCAATCACGGTGACCCTAGATTTTCTTGGTGCATTATCAACCCTATTTTGACTATTATCAGAAGGTAAGGAATTCGTAAAAATAAAACGATGCTTAAGAAGGGCAGCTCTAGAGGAATCGGTAGCGATAGTTGAAATGCCACCGGCTACTCTATCTCGCCAATTAGTTCGCAACCGCCTATGTGACCGTCTGTGAGAAACAACAAATTGCGTAATTTGCCCTAACGGCAGGGACGGTGACATGAGTTCAGGTACGATATACCTGATCTCTTATAATAATTGCGGAGACGAATATATTGGCGAAACGGGCAGACCTTTGTGTATCCGTATAAAAGAGCACCTAGATGGCAAACGAAAACTAAGACGAAGCACCCCACTAGGCACGCATAGGACACAAAAGCATAACGGAGACGATTTTGAAGTAAAAGTCAATACAAAAACTTTTTGGATAAATGCCAAAAACCCTACAATGAATAGCAGGGATAAAGGCCCAGAGGTCATACGCGACCTGACCCCGTATATTCGCATCAATTTCTGATGTGGGATGGTACAGTCATCAACCGTACGCGACTATAATCAGCTGTTCTAAACTTCCTCATTGGATGTCACGAAAAAGCGGTGGGTTTTTTCGAGAAGTTGTTGATCATGTAATTACCAAAGAGTCTTTCGTCTTTTTGTAAGTGTGAAAAAAGCGGTGGGTTTTTCGAGAAGTTGTTGATCGTGTAATTACCAAAGAGTCTTTCGTCTTTGTGTAAGTGTTATTGAAGCGTTTGGCCTACTTTTCGAGAAGTTGTTGATCGTGTAATTACCAAAGAGTCTTTCGTCTTTTTGTAAGTGTTATTGAAGCGTTTGGCCTAGTTAGGATTGTATATCAGTATACCCTTGCAGGCTCTGAAGAAGGCGATACTGCCGAAACGTCAGCTAGCGTTGTATTGTATTGTGTTTTTCTATGGAAGTAAATGTAAGCTGTTTAAAAACCTCGCGATTGCTGAACAAGAAAACGACGCATTCATATTCCAATGCCGAGGTTAAGAGAAAGTCGATCCTGGGAACTGTGAAAAGATCTCTTAACACCTCTATATGTAATGGTCGCTTGGGCGCAAAAGACATTGGAAAATTCGTCCGAGGAAAAAAGTTTTCCGTTAATTATCAACCTAGAAGGTAGGTATCCAAAGACCACGTCCGACACAACATCTCCTTTGGATAGGCTATCGAATTATTGTAAAAAGTTTAGCAAGCAAATACAACCAGGTAAAGTAAACTGTTTAAGAGGTTTTGCATTGAAATCAACACATGCGGCCACACGTGTTAACGATACACTTATCCCAGATCGATGCCACGCTGTTCGCCGTGTTGACGCAGATCGTCTATGCACCGTATGAGAATGAACACCTTGAAGTGATCAAGAAGGAGTGTCCAAACATTTTGGAGTATGTGGAGCGCATAAAAAACCGGTTAGTTTTTTGGAGACGACATTTTGCGAAAACGACAAAAGCAGCTGCACCGAGTACACCACCATTGTTGGTTATAGTAGCAAAATTCCGATAAGAATCGAACCAGAATTTTCTCCATTGAAGATATTGGCCTGATTGGGCTGATGCGACCACGAAATTCTCATTGGACAGTAACTGGAAGAAACGACCGAAGAGCTACGTTTCCATAAATAACGCGAACAACGTCACTCCATCGAAATCATCGAATTTACACGAAGAATAGATTTCTTCCAAACACGTGTTTTAATTCATAATCCCTCCTATTAAGGTGTTCCTTTATCGTTTTTGTTCGAATTTGACAGTCGACGTATTGTCTCTAAATTCTAACCAACAGATGTGTTTAGTATTTTAACGTAAGTTCACCGTACCAGCATCTACTACGCATTTCTTTAAAAGAAAGAAAACTTTCTTTTGAGATGTATTTTGAAAGCATCAAGAGCTGTTTTCACTATTTCCAGAACATTTTTATAGTCCTAAAGTCTTTAATAGTAGCCGTTTCCTAGATAACCTCGTGAAGCATTTTCGTACATTGGTAAAGTTTTTTATAGCATAAAGAAACAATATATGTCAACAACTCATCTGCTAATCAACAAGATATCTCAACAAGTAAAACGATGAGAATTCGCCATGAGAATCGTCCTTGTCTGCATGACGTTTTCTATTGTGAAAACACTTTTTAAAAGCATTTTAAGGGAAAATAGTAACACCACACACCTCTTTAACTGCATTACCAAAAAATCTGTTAAGAACGCCCAAGCGCAGTTTGGTTGAGGTAGACCAAGTATGCTATGCGTGATGCATATTTCTGGATTTGTTATCAAGTAACAACAATAAGTATCGACAATCAGCAATCTTCAGAGAACCTTCTTGTCTACGATTTGACCATAAAAATCTCGGCGTTGATGAATTCCTGAGGGATGCACCATGCATTTGACTTCATTAAGCATCGATGAGGTGATTGAATGCATGTCTTGGTCTTTACAGTAACTCGCGGTTGTCCACCGATGTATCGAGCTAGTGCTGCTATTCTCCTAGATAACTCTTATACAAAACTACTGACCCCGGAGGGATGGAAGACTTGGTGGACCTGGGCCGCCGGGATTGATCCCATGTGTACTACAGGGTGCCTCCCAAAACTGGGGCTACACAGGTCTCCTATGATTTAGCCATAGCAAAGAAAACCCAGAAAAGAAACCTCTACCCAGGAATTGGTGTAAAGTTTCTTACAAATATGTGCAACTCTGATTCATCAAATTCTCTACTCCGAAAAACGCTTATATCTTTAAATGCTGCGTTCTTGCTTGCTTTGCGTTTACAATCAGATTAATTCGTAACTAATTTTACTCACTTTTTATCCCTGGCCTCAATTTAAAAGTGCGGAAATTCTGCCTACACTGTTTAGTCAGTTCGGCACCAGTAAACGCTGAATTTAAAAAACTGAATACGGGTTACATATACTATTAAGTAATCTAGACCGTGGCAGGCTTGAAGGTGTCAAGCATTTCGACTTCCAGTGGATGCATTTGACCTGGCAATATCATACAGTGTAGCGGAGGCCCAAGGTCGTATTGTGACATCTCCTTTAGAGAACAGAACACAATCTAAAACTACTTGAAAACGAAAGGACACTAAAGTTAAGTGAAGCTAACTCGAAAGAGTTACCTTCTGATCATCCCAACCCACTCGTGCTAATCCAACACACGGTGAAGACTCGTTGTACACTGAAGGATAAATTTAGAGCCCTTGTGGTGTAAATAAGAATGCTACAGTCCTCAATCCTAATTTTTTTCATTGTACAGCTGATTCTCCCTGGTGCCAAATAATGGAAACGATCCGGATACTCTCTTTTTTAAAAAATTTCCTAAGACGCAGGAAACGCAGTAGTTGGAGACGCCAAACGTTCATGGTCGCTGGTTCATCTTGCATGAACCCAATTCGGCCTCATAAACTCGGAGTGGCCGAAATGACGCCATGTTGGCAGACAATGGCTCCCTCCAATCGACGAATACCCACAACTACTTTTGGTGAAGAACTTGGAACACTTTTTGCACACACATCAAGGACTTAAAACTAATCCATTGGATTAGTACTGAACGACATTCATAAAAAAGGTAAAGTCCTCAGCTGGCACTTGAACCTCTACGTAAATTCGAAAATCTCGATGAATGACTCGAGTCAATGAACCGAAATGAAGGAAGGGCACAATATGCGAAATCGGATCATAGAAGTAAAAGGATAAAAAGATAAATGTCTCGGAATTCATCAATCCCTGAGGGATGCATCATGCGTTCGATTTCATTAAGTGTCGTTGGAGGTGATCGAATGCATATCTGGTCTTTACTGACCAGCAGTGGCCTACCGATGTATCGAGCCAGTGCTGCTATCCTCCCAGACAAGTCTGGTACTAATTTGCTGACTCCGACGGGATGAAAGGCTTGAAGAGCCACAGGCGCAAGGATCGATCCCATATGTGTGTAGCAGAGCGCCTCCAACCATTGCAACACACGCGCCCCATGACCATATATAAAAAAGAAAATGCCAACCTGGTTCAATTCCAGCTTTCCTTTTACGTTCTAATATGATTAATAATTGACGTGCCGCTTCAGAACAAGTGAGGTATCGGGGTGGTTCGAAAATATTCCTTCCCCTAAAGTACATTATCAATGTTTAATCAAAAGAAAATCGCCAGTGACCGAGTGTAAAACGAATCACAAACCTCATCATGTTCTCTAATGATTGTTCCTTCGTTTTTATATCTAAAAATTACTATGTACAAGTCAATATCAATCAAGAATATTAAGAATACTGACTGACCGAGTAGACAGAGAGTATGGAATCCTCTCTCCATATTTGAGGCTATTTTGTCATAATAGCTGTCTGGCTCCCATCCGTCTAGCCACATCACTATGGATACCGTTTCACCGAAATTGTACAACTAAAAGAATCCCAATGTTGCTGAGATATTTGCAAAACTCTGGACCGCAGGTGTCTATGGTGGGGAACGAACGCGCTATTATCCTTTCCGGGGAGTAACGCGTTCACCACCACACCATGCGGGTCCTTTGTTTCGCACGTCTCTCAGCTATTTC